AAAGTTCCTGGCCTTTCCAAGCTTTCAGGTCCTGCTTTCCAATATGCTATGTGTACTGGTTAATTTAATATCCCATTAGAATTCCACACTGCAGTTACCCTATCCATGAATGTGCCAATGAGTATTTACAACGACCTTGTCCACTGCAAGCTTCATATCAGCAGCCATGCATGTAGCATTTCTTCTGTATCTGTATGCTTAGAAGATGGCTTGTAATTTCACACCATTTTATTTGAGCCAAGTGAATTCACAACAGAAAGGAATATTTTAGTGGCAAGCATCATATTTTTTGGAGAAATAAATCATAGTTTAGGACTTTAGGTTAATTACTTTTCTATGTTGCTTGGTGCACAATTCTATCTATGACATGCTACACTGACCCCACTGTTTACGACTAGGAGAGTTGAACATGAAGTTAAGTTTTCTGTATTAATGAAAAACAAATTGATTGGCCAATAGATGGTTTTATTGATATTTAGTGAAATAACTGCAGTTTTTAAAACAAGAACTAAACATATGGAAGCAAATGTCTTAGGCTATAGGCTTGAACAAACACTCCTGCCTCCTACAATTCCAATATTTTTTTAATACATTATTTCTGATTGCATTAGAACAATACCTGAGCCAATGTAACTAATCCAAACCCCTATGCACAATTTTGTGATGACCGATGATGCATTTATCTTTCGTTAAGTAAAACTATTTTTGCTGAGTGAGCCTGTGAGGTAAATGTAATAAAAATTTGTTGTTAATTGATTTTTTGTTAACTGGAGCTTTTGCTAATAGAAGTACTACTATAAATGCATTTTTAGGGATCCCTTATTACCCCAGGGAGTGTCCCTTATTACCCTGTCTTGTGGAAATGATTGTTATTTTTTTTATTGAGATACATAAATTCTGTTAATAATGTTTTTAAGCCAACACCTGTGTGCAACTTTTACTCAAGTAAAGTTTTCAATACTGCAAATTTTTTTTGCTACAGTATTTAGCCCAGGCCCCAGAGTATTGATAAAAATAACTCACAGTTGAAAGGAATGAAATAACAGAAAGTTTTATATATACTTTCTTTCAGGTGTGGCATATGTCAAGTTTTCCAAAACTTCAGAAGCAGCTTTGGCCATGGAGGAAATGAATGGGCAGACAATTGGCAACCATTTACGACCTCTGAAAGTTTTGATTGCTCATAGGTAAGTGCTTATATATATGATATATATATAATGCTATGATTATATACTGTATATAATCATAGCAATTACTTCTTGGTTGTCAATCTTTTTTTGAGTCCCCTGAGTAGACTAGACAAGTAGGTATCACAGATACCAGCATTCAATAAGTTTTTGAGCACTTGGGTTGGGAGTTTTTTACTGGAATATTTTTCAACTACATTTTTTGACATTTTCATGGACAAAAGCTGCATTTTACAGACAATAAATTCATATTTCAAATTTTCTCATTAATTTAATTTGAGGTATTATGAATTCTAATTGATGCTATTTATCTTGGTTCTAGTAAAGTCTAAGGTTGAAATCACCACCTCCACATGACAATCATGCCATTAATTATAAAGAACCTGTAAACACACTTATTGGAATCTAAACATTTTGTAAATTTTGTACTAGCCTAACTCTTGTAATCAAGGTAATTAATAATTATAATTTTATCTATTTATACTTGCTCTGTACTTATCAGCATTTTTGCATGACAAATTTGTTGACTTGAATAAGGTGTCTGCAGTTCAATGACTAAATGAAAATGTATATATAGCATGTGTACAATCACTTATGTTTTTAGTGCTTGTTGATGTCTAATTTGAACTCATTTTGATAAAATTTAAGTATTAGCTAGTATCTTCTTTCTAAGTCATTTTTTTTCTTTTTCTATCCATCACAAAAAATTGTAAACAAATTTCAGTAAAAGAAATAAGATTTTATTCAAAATTATAATGTTTTCAGTCGAGATCAAGGCTCGCGACGAGACCTGAATGAAGGAGAGCGGCTGGTGCGCCTGTTTGTTGTGGTGCCGAAGACCATGACAGAGGGCGAGCTCAGGGAACATTTTGCCCAGTTTGGGAGCATTGAATATGCTTCCATTGTTAAGGACAGAAACACCAAAGAAAGCAAAGGATTTGGATACGTTAAGTATGAGAAGTAAGTGCACATTTTTACCACAGTGTCTGTGAATATTTGCGTCCTAAATAATTTTTTTAATATCTAGGAAATGTTTATTGATGCAATTGCCTGTGAATGCAGAATTAGACATTAGATTCTTTGCGTTTTTTACATTTGTATTTCTTGCAGGTATACATTTTTTTCAAGTTAATTTCAGTTAAAAATTTAATAGCAATATAAGGCAACATTTCATTTAGTCTTTAATTTCTTCATTTGGAGGTTCCAAATTCATTCAAGGTCAATGTTCTATTAAGTATTATTATTTTAATGTTGAATTTACTTTCAGAATGTCTGAAGCAGCAAAAGCGTTTGAAAACTGTGACCGCACCTTCAAGCCAGTCTTTGCCGAGCCTCGGCCGCAAAACAAAGACAACTACAACAATAACAATAGCGACTTTGGTGGACGTGTTAGCGGTGGAGGAGGGGGTGGTGGTGGTGGAGGTGGTGGCGGAATGGACATGCGTAATGACCTGAGAATGGAGATGTTCCGACCTCCTTCAGATGGATACGGTGGAGGTAAAATTCAGCATTTAATTTCGCCTCCTGAGAGGCAATTGAGAGTACAAATGTAATAGTGGGTAAAATAATGTATATGCGGTACTGAAGTAATTGGCATTTTGTGTGCAGTGTGTGACTTGATGATTGTATTATTGATGTGATAGGGGGTATTAATTGTTCATTGTGTGTGTGTGTGTGTACCATTGAATCTTGACTGCTCTTAGGCATTCACTCGTGATGATTCATGTTGGTTTCAGTTGTGCAGTTTTTCAACAATATTAGCGTATTTTTGTTCATTTTGACATGATCTTTTGAAATATTCATGTAGAAGTAATAACGTCAGACTCTAAGATATATCAATGGCTTGTTGACTGCCTTCGTTGTGAGACATGACCTTTGCAATCTTTTCTGTATAGGCTAACATTATGTAATTCTTTTCAATTATTCTAAGACAGGCTCTACTGACATAGAAATTATTCAATATCTTGCATATTTATATATTTTTCTGGATAATTCCATGCTGATGTAAAATTAAATAGGGCGCTTTGAATTTAGTATGGAGAAACTTTGATTGGTTGAGTACATACAGGTTATTTAATATCAGAATTGATATTTCTCAAGGTATTTTTGTGTTTCATTTTTATGTTGCTCCATGAGTAGAATATAACACAGCTTCTGTATTTTAGGGTAGATAGGACTTTTTTTCAGATAAAAATACCTATGAGCTAAAATCATCCTTGTATCTTGGTATTAGGACTTCTAACTCTTCACTTTATAAACAATTGGTTCTCGGCTGCTGACAGAAAAAATTTCATGCAATGCAACTAATGTAAGCTAATTACTCTGTACCCTAACTATGAGTTGACAGTAATATGGACTAGCCTTCAGCAACAGGAAGGAAAAATGCAAGCAATGGACTGGAACGCTTGAACTGAGCCTTGGACTTGAGACAAATTTTACTGCTGTCAACCATACCCTCAATGCTGACAATACTATGAATAATATTTGACATGGGAATGTACGGTCCATGATCTCAGCTGTGTTCAGAATGACTTTGAATTTCACGTTCCGTTACCTAGATGGATGTTGCTTTTTATTGCGGTTTCCATTTACTGGAGTCACAAAAATATCTCAAATTATAAGTGATGCTTTTGGCACAGGTGCAAAATATGCCTGAACGAGATTCAAACCTTCACGTTTCGTTTCTAATGCCAAAATTTGTCTCCATTTATACCTACAAGGAAATATCTAATGCACAAAGTATTTGAAATATCTAAAGTAAAGTATTTGCAGTCGCGATTTTCCTTGCACTGTTAGATTCAAAATTGAGTGTACTGTTGGAAACGGAAGTCATAACGACGCGGGGGGTTCTGACATTAACGCAACTGTTGACTTGCTAGGTGTCACTCGCCTGACTGTGTTTGCCTCGCCATCGCTCAACCAAGACCAGCTTTGGAAACTCTTTGACCTCATCCCTGGCCTTGACTACTGCGACCTACGCAAAGACCGCAAGTCTTCAGGAGGACAGGTACATACAACTACAACCTAACGGATCTCTGGCCTACCCAAACGTTTTTTTACAGTCTATCTTGACTACAGCGTGTTTGTCTGAGAGTGGAGTGAGATCTGTTTTCATGCTTTCACAAATGAATTCAGAGACGCTTCATCGGTCGTCGAATTGGTTTCCAAAATCTGGGATAACTCAAAATTTTATTCAATTTTGCTTGCATTAAATTTATATGAGCTGAATAATTTCAAGTTTTTTTTAAAGGAAGATTTGCATTGCTTCAAAATGTGGTTTCTTCAAACAATTGACCTTCCCTTTTTCTTATTTCTTTGGGCGATGGTCAAATTTGTTTTAATCGAGGTAGTATAGATACATGTGTGATCTGAGACCTCAAACTCCACCAATGACTGACTTGACCTTTGAAATTTAAGCACATAAGATAACTCGACACTATTTTCTTGATCAAAACCTAATAATTTTCATCATGTAACAGTGTTTTCTAGGCAATCTGTCCATAATGAAATGATGAACCCGTTACTGTACCTATAACAGAAACAAATGTGGGTGCTGTGGAATTAAATCACCATGATTTTTCCATACCAAGGATAATTTTAAAGTCTACAGGAATGAACAGCCCCTCAAAGTGAACTGCAGTAGTTTTATCAATTTACAGCTTTTCTTGATATTGTCTTGCTGTAATGAATAATTTTGTTAATAATTGTAATGAGGTCCAGTCTGAATATTTGCTGCTCGTTATATTCCTGTTTTTATGGCACCATGTGCCGTAATAATCTGTCCCTCATTGGATCATGCAGCTATGTTAACTCAATGGCTTTCTGCATGAGACGGACTGAATTGCTAACAAGACCATTTGGATTGATCCACAAACCATGGTGAAATTCTAGGAATGCTTTTTCATATAGTATACAAGATCAATCCAGTCAAGCAGCTTGAGATAATTTTGAAAATATTAGCGGAGCTATAAAATGGCAAACCTATTTAAAAATTTATCATATAATATGATGAGTGTACATACTTCTTAAAATATTACTCCTATCTTGCTTTGGTTCCTCGCTCCATTTGATTCGGTGATGCTGCAATCCTATTATACTGGCATGACTCTTTAATTTAATTTGTCTTGGTGTTCCTTCGTCCAGATATGCAGTTTGAACTTTTCTTCATGAATAGATTGATTGGTGAAAATGACATCTGCATGTAGGCCTAACCCGTTGAATGTGATGCCTAAATATTATCATTAAACAAGTGTACTTGGAATTGCATTTGGTGCCTGCAGCAACACGTTTCTATACATACAGGGTCGCGGCGTTGCTACTGTGGTATACAACAACGTCCAGTCCGCGAACTACGCGTGTGAGAAGCTGCACGGCTTTGAGTATCCTCCTGGCCAGCGTCTCATCGTGAAGCCTGACACGCGAGGCTCCGATATGCAGCGTGGCAACGGCGGTCCTCCTGCTGCAATGATGGGCAGTCCCATGGGTAACCCGATGGGTCCTCCACGTAACAATGCTATGTCTGGCCCGCCTGGGCCCATGGCCCCACTTAACGGCAATATGGGCGGCGGAGGTGCGCTTGTCAGGCCTGGTCAAAATCTTCAGCAAGATCTGGCAGCTCAGCTCGCTGAGACTATTGCTCAGGCGTCGTCTCTCATTCAGGCAGCTGGGCTCGCTCAAAGTGAGATTTTTTGCTAATGTTTGTCATAATTTCGGGACTTTAGACTCACTTTGTGCATTTTACTTAATTAATTAAATTTTTCCAATTTTGCGCTACTTGCGAATTACCTTAAATATGTATTCACCAATGCATTGATGGTGCATCCCGACCAAGCTTTCAATTGCTATGGCTCTGGCGATGCATCCTGATATATTCTAAACTATCACAGCCACACTTATTCCTTACTACCTTTTATTTAAATACTTTACCTTTGCTGGATTCATAATGAAATCTAGCTGGCATTCAAGTACCGTTTTATTACGTGGCACACTAAGTGTGGTATCAGACATTTATTTGCAGCGAATACCTATGCACGTTTCAGGCAACGCAGCTCAGGGCGGTATGATGATGGGGGCAAGCGGTAGTGGCGTGGGCATGGTAGGTGGGGGTGTGGGCAGCCATGGCGGCCCTTCACATGCCGACACCTACGACCCCACCTACTGCTCCACCAAACTGCCTCCACCCCAGCCACTGGCGCCGGTCGACTCTCCTGTCGCTGAACGGTGAGCTTGCTTCACAAAACTACATTTACATTATTGAGCATTCACTGGCACCTGTCGCTGAAGGGTGAGCTTGCTCCACCTAACTGCATTTACAACATTCAATGGCGCCTGTGGAATTTCCTGTGGCTGAACGGAGCGCGAAAGTAGCATGGAATATTTTGCTAACTGCCTGTTCACCGTGTGTATTGTCTGGTGCGTATGTGTTTGTGTCATTATTGTTATTGTCTTTCATTCCTGCAGTCTTTTCATCGTGTGCCAGGTCTTGTGTAGATACTGTTGATCTTATCTAGTATTATAATCATCTTTTATTTACGCAGTCTGTTCATCGTGTGTCACGGCTCGCCTCCTCCCATTTACGCCATGAAGGACGTTTTTGGGCGCTTTGGCAACCTCATAGACGTCTACATGCTTAATGGCAAAAACTTCGGCTACGCAAAATATGCCTGCAAAGACTCGGCTAATAAGGCCATTTTGGTGAGGATTTTTATACAATTATAATTTATAATATAGTGGTGTTAGCTTTGATTTGGCTTATTGGCCTGTAGCTAATTCTTTACCACCCAGCTTTTTGTCAATTTTGACGAATTGTTACGGCTAGTTGCGGGTTCGAACTTCCAATTTGCTGTTCTAATTTTGGTGATCTTAACCACTCGGATACCACGAGCTTGGGGATAAGTTTCAAGATTAACCCGTCATTTCAACGCTTAGTTCTTTATCTGTCGTTCTTTTTATCTACTTATAGTTATAATGTGTCGAGCTACTAATCCTTTCGTTGCTACATTATTAAAAATGAAGATATATTTTCTCGACTTAATCGTCTGGTGTTCATCCATCATGCAGTGTTTTAGTTTCTTTATGTCCATGAAATTTATATATTTGTGATTACTCCATTATTACCCGCAGTGCTCTCGCTACCCTTCCCCTTCTAACTAAGAAACTGATTCTGTCTTGGTGTAGAATTTCTAAATGGATAAGTCAATGTTGAATCTTTACATAGAAAAATTGCTGTAATGTCAGCCTTTATTTCCAGCGAACTCTTTACTACTATTTTTACTGCAAACTTGATCTTTGGAGTTGATTTGATGGTCATAACTCGTTACTAATCATTTTGCAAACTTGGTCTTCGAGGTTTTTTTGATGGCCATCTATGTGCAGACGATGCATGGCCAGGAGATCATGGGGGCTCGCCTGAAGGTGATGGAGGCTGACCCTCACGAGAAGAGCGACAGCGCCAGGAAGCGGATTAGGATGGACGAATGATTTGGTCCTGCTGAGTATCGTAGGTGAGCGTCGTTACCGCCAGCACCCTCTAGGTTTCTTGACCTAATTTACCAAAACACGGAAGACCGTCGGGTCTAGAGACCGTAATTTGATTCTTGGCAGGGGGTAGAAACCGAAATACGATGAGTATCGTAGGTGAGCGTCAACACCGTCTGGATGCACTAGGCTCCTTGGACGGATTTGCCACGTCACTGGAATGTGAGAAATTGAAAGTTATTGTAGTATTCGTTTCTTGGCTAGAAGAAACCAAAATACCAGAGAAGTAAGACTTTATGTATGAATTTAACTTTCTAATATCAGTTTTCAATGTTTTATTGAAACTTTCGTCGCTTCAAGATTTAAGTTCTCAGGCGTTGCAATAGATTCAAGATTGCAATTCTCAGGCGTCATTTCATGGCGATGTGAATTGTTGGTTCAAAGTTTATCTCGTGTTAAGTTGAGTGGTCCTTAATTGTATCTTATTATGTAGCGAGCATCATAAATGTTTTGACGGCTTGACACCGTGTTTGCGATGATGCATCTCGTCGTGATGGTAACGGCCTATGGTTTCTGCTTCTCTTATTACGGTGGAATGAAAGATTTCCTTAAGTTATGTACGAATCAAGTTGACCCCAAGAATCTCTTGAAGAATTTCAACCTTCGTAAAACAATCCAGTGACGTTTTTTCTACTGCATCTCGGTTGTCACATCAGTTGCGGGATGAGTCTTGCACAGCGAAACGCTAGGGCTACAGAAATGTGGAAAGAGATGACTCTGTGTTTTAGATGATATCACAAGCCGTCAAGATGATGCCAAATAATGCCTTTGAATAAAATCTTACGGTTTAAAACTTCGAAAACAGATTGCCCTCATTCAAATGCCTTAAACTCTTATTGTCTTAGATTTTCTAGTGCCGAGTGTTCTGTTGAACGCGCATAAGGCAGCAGCGGTTCTCTTCCTCCAAGACTGCATTCCCAGTGCTAGTTTTATGATCTATTTTGATTTTGCTTATGTAAGCCTATGCATGAAATTGACTTCCATCTGTAATTTTCGAAACAGTTTTAAATGTTTGTTAATAACTGAACGAAGTTAAAACGAAAACCTGTGCCGATACCTAGAGCCAAATGTGTTTTGCGAGCGCTATTCTATGCCCGATTATGGAATATTGATTCCTCCTCACTCTTGGGACGTGTTCCATGTTAATTCCTTTACTTTAAGTTGTGTGTGGGTCTATAGTATCGGCGAGTGTTGAGGTCACAAATACCGATTACCTATATAATTGTTCTGCCATTTGCTCTTACAAATAACAGCATCAGATTCTTATTCTTCAAAGAATCTCCTCGCTTCATAGATTCTCAATGTGGAATTAATTTTACAATTTCTCCTAATTCCAGAACTAACGCCAACCACTTGATAGTGCCTCTCTTATTGAAAACACAGTTCACAGGCATAGAATTAGATATTGGAACTGTATATGTGTCTGAATTGCCTCTCCTACACATTTTGTGACAGCTGTATTCAAATAAATAGTCTTAGATTTAAGAACGATGTATGTGATCAGCCTCGCTTAATCTTGTCACTTCATATTTGCTCTGGTCATATTTTACGCATCTACACCTTCGTGTTTACATGCTCATCGCAAGCGCTCTAGGTTCCTAACGGCAGCACCTAATTCGTAATGAATCGCAAGCGTGAATGTGAGGAACCGTGTGTCCCTGTAGTAGCATTCTACCAATGACTAATGTTACATTGTGTCAAAATGATTACTTAGGCCTTAAATTTTTTGAATCTCTCGTCTAGTTAGAATTTTACTTCGTTGTTAGTGTGTAGCGTAAGATTTTTGATGTACGTATTTCTTGTCTTAGCAAATTTGAGCCTGCATTTGATATGTATATTTTGGTACCATAAATAGGACGAATTACTATATGCCAAATCGCTTAGCTAAGGTGCCTTTACTGCTCGTACAGCCTATAAATTCCTGGACCTATAATTTCAAAAAATGTTAAGAGACCGTAAATTCATCAGCCAATCGGCCTTTCAAGCAAAATCCACTAATCATAGAGACGAGAAAATAGAGCGCAAGTACTTACGTTCACTTAGCGAGTTTTGAAAGTAAGGCCCCAGCTGGCCTATAGTTAGGACACCTAAATCTAATCAGCCTCATTCGTTACTGCTCGGAATAATAGTCTGGAAATATTACGATTTTTTTAACTAACTTCGCTGGTGCTTTCCAGTACTCGATTAAATCACTGGTCTGATTCAGTATCAAAATTATCCAAAACTACAGTGTTTTGATTTTAGCGTCTACTAATCTTAACCCCTTGATTCTCTTTACTTGTTATAGGTCATGACGTAATTGCCGATGACTGACATCTCTACTCTGGCTGAGCCTGGAGCTGACAACAAATCTGTTGAGACGGGCGCTCTGTTGCTGACGGTAACTGAAGAACTGACGTCACTGCTGACGCTTACTGAGTTGGCAGTCATGTGACAGTGTGACGTTACACCGTAGACGTAAACAGAAGACGTGTGACGTCTCCCCTGCTGTAGAATTAAGCTGTACCATGACACTGTGGTATTGTTAGCGATTGAATACTAGTGTAGGTTTTACTCTGTTATGATCACATTAGAAAACCATCAGTGTTTAACCCCGAAGTACCGGTGAATGTATCGAAATATTTCAGATTTATACGGGTCGTTCGAATTGTTCCGCACAAGACGATTTAATTTTGAATTTGCTGTTGTCGACTCCAAAAACATGCATGGCAAAGTCTGGCGTTAAAATTAGTCGGTCAAATCAACGACTGTCTCGGATATTTACGTACCTTAATGGATTAATTGCAAGGTTTTGATGCAATCTCATTACAATAATATAGGTGCGATACATATGCAAAAGTAGACAGACATTTTATAAGGAAATGAGAATTATAATATAATGACTCGTTGGCTTACCGATCTTACTTTTTTGTCGGAGCTGTTAGAGAAACAAATTTTCCTTCCTGCAATATGAGTTGGTGTTTACTACTATGATAGATGAATGACAAGTTTCGTGATATGCGTAGAGAACTTTTCTTTTTTTCGTTGGTCAGCTTTTCTGGCTGTGGAAGCTTTACTTTGGATGTTGTTAGGTAGTCACGCTTATTTAGTTCAGTTGATTGCGTCAAAATTGAAAATTCTATGTTTATTATTTGGCTTTTTATCTCGATGAACATTGAGACAGACCACGATTTATGTTACTGTTAAAGTTACCAAATGTACTTTTCGAAATCGATACTTAATCCCTGATTCTTCTTTACATCGGGGTGATGAGAATCGTCAATGTAGTTCATGATCAGAAAGAATAATTTGCCCATCAGTATTTTTTACTTGCCTCCTAGTGTTAGGGTAATTAATTTAACGCCAAGGTAATTTCAAAATCATTTAATAGAAAAAATAATGTATTTGCTTCATGTCCATAGGTGAAACTGGCAACGTCAATGTCAACCTTATCTAAAGGCTGGGTAATGGATATTTCGTCTGTAGAATAAGGCTCGTATTTAATAATGCAGCGGGTACAGTCACCCAAAAGAACCAAGAAGAAAGTCCTGCTTGTGTACCGCAGCGTAGGCCAGATAGAAGTCGAGTTTGCGGACGGCAGTTTTCAGGTTTTGTGTCGTCGCGAGGACAGGCTTGATGGTCGCCTGGCCGCCTGGTATAGACGACAGAAACGCGCCTGCTTTCGGCGTCGCCTTCCCTGCAAATTAAAAAACAGTTAGTAGATTTCTCAGTGACAGCGTAGGACATAATTTAAATAAGCATTTGACGGAAATTTGTTTCAGTACAATCACCGGTAAGATTTGGAATTGAAATAATAATCTTACCCTCGCGGAACGACTTCAAAAATAAAAAATTTTATCCAACTTCCATTCACTTTAGTTCGAACATTGGATTACCTCTCATTTTACTATATTATTTGTAACTCAATTTTCTAGGAATTAGCTACTCAATGAAGCCGGATTAAAGGAAATATTAACGTCCTACCACGGTAATTACCTTTGAGAGCATCTTGCAGGAGCTGCTTGAGGTGACACAGCGCAGCAATGAGGAAATATCCAGGCAGCTCTCGCGGACCGGTAATAATTACAGCTGCATCAGCAGCAGCAGAGTCCATCATCTCCTTGGTAGCGCACAACCAATCGTGCTATAAAAACCAATGTTACGTCACGTTTTCATCTTTTGAGGCACAGCAGTCGAGCTGAAAAAAATCTAACATCGCGGGTCCAACATGTTGTTTACATATAAAAAAAATATATATGTAGAAATTCGGAAAGGTTTAAGACACCGAAATATGAGAATTAGTTGATGCCCATATAATGAAGCCTGATAACATGTGGAGAAACACTGCGAGGAATATTTGAATCGATTCATTAGTCCGTATTCAAACGAGTATATAATTCGTGTGCCGGATGAAACACGAATTACTAGTACAGCAGACAAAATAAAACATTTTTATGACTGTTGATTGAGACAAAATAAAACATTTCTATGACTAGAATAAATGTGTAGAATTGTTTAGAAAAAATTGCCTATACGTGACGGTCTAGGACTTAGGTACGTAATAGAAACCCCCAAAAAAATTCATTGTGCAGAAAAAGCGACAGCCTTAGCTGAGAATTTGACCTGCAACGATCGCATGTTGACACTCGCGACAGCTTCTTCAGCGCTGCAGAAAACTTGAGGAGAGCTGAGGGGTGAGCACATGCACAGGAGTCCCTCAGCCGCCTCCTGGCTGCAGTCCTGAAAATATACGCGAAACTGAGCACTGATCGCAAGTTTTACTCGACCAAATCCTCAGTAAAAGATTCAATGAGTAAAATAATTAAATAGATTAACTTCTATCTATGTAATTACTGCATGTATACAATACAAACGTACAAACAATTGTTGTTACAATATAAATTATATAAGACCTGATTTGCTTCATGACGGAATTACTTGACATCCACACCTCTAGATCGCCGTTGAAGAGTCGCATCAGCCACGCGTAGCCCACTGCCGTATTCAGGACACTGTAACGTAAGCGGGGAGAAGGCGTTGTGGACTGCAAAACATGAAACTTTTTGGAGTGTTTTGTAGATTAGGGATACAAATTAATAAAGGAACTTTATTGTCATCTGTATATTCAACATAAAAGAACGGAATATACATATATTCAAAATTATATTGTCATCTGTATATTCAACATAGAAGAACGGAATATACATATATTCCAAATTTACTGTCAACGCTGGTCAAGGCCATATGTAGAAAGTTGCAGCTTACAGCTCTGTGAATGAAAATTAAACATTAATTCAATATAAGTCAGTACTAACTATATTTCTAATCTCAGAGCACACATTTGGCAAATTCAAATACTGAATACAATCTTACTATTAAATCAGAGAGCTTCTTGACTTTGCCGAGAGGAGGGCAGTTGGGGTACTTGGCCTTGATAGATGCAGGTACACAGGAGAAGGCACATACTACACCAACATGGTGCTTCGATGTCAATTTCTTAACCACTTTACTTTTGGAAGACGAAGAACAACTGATTGATATTTTCTCGTTTAGTGAATCTATGATACTAGTCTCATCCTTTGTAGCAAATTCTTTATCTTCTTTGGTTATATCACTGACTATAGAGTTTGAAACACTAGTTAAAGCAGGCTGTGTGGGTAGCGAGGTACTCGATGACATATGACTAGGGCTTTGAGAGAAAGAATCTTGATCAGGAGATTCAGTTGTTGATTCCTCATCCTTGGAAGGTTGTTTGTTAAAAGATAAATTAGAATTATCAAAAGTTTTAGTGGAAGAAGGAATATTACTTTTATTTTCAGAAGATTTCATAAGTCTTTGATAGTCTGTTGATGTAGAGAACTGATTTTCTTTGATAATTTTGGCTTCAGTGTCTTGGAGCTCTACAATGATAGGCCCATTGTCAGCAACACTTTCTGGAGGAAGCCACCATGGTATGTAGGTGGGCAGAATCTCATTAATGTCTCCCGATTGGATGAGCTGACAGAACTGACGTCTTTCATCTTCTGTTAGCTGCTCCCAGACAGCATCACTGTCATCCAAATCTATTCCTACAAACAATGGTAGTAATGTATGAAATATAATTTCTTATAGTATTTATATAACTGACAAATGAGTACAGTACTACAAAAATTGAACTTTAAATTCTACTTTAGGGTTACAAAGCAATGCTACTTAATTGTTTTTTGATAGGTTCTCACAAAAATGGTCAAACACTTCTTAATTTCATTGAATGACCAACTTGCGTTCAACTTGTGCTTGTGTAATCATCATTGTCAGAGTAAAATTATCAATGTTCTTTGTCACCAAACCTCACCTTGAAGTCTAGTTTCTAAATCCTCATCATCATCCGAGTCAAGTTGTTCATTTTCATCTTGTTCAAAACTTTGCTGTTCAGGATTTAGCAGTTGACTTGGAGTAGGAGCAAAAGCATCTGGGCTTTCTAGTCGCTTGAGCATTTCAATCATTCTTTTCCGAGAATCAGGTGGTGCTTGGTGATTGTGCAGCTGAAACAAAATTGATGATCAACGAATCAAAACTTGATATAATTTTATTTTGAAAAAACATAACAAAATTTACACAATTTTTTTTTCGAGTAGGTGGGTAGAAGAATTTTTAATTAAAAAAAAGAGTGATGTGTGAAAAGCAGGTAGCAAAAACATATATTGCAATTATTTGCTACAGCAGAAATATACATACATAATCATCTAGTTAATTACCTGTAAGTGGACTTGTTCTTTGTAGAAATCTTCAGAACATGAGGAGTGCTTAGCTCCCGAATAACAGCTTGACGAGCAGTACCGGACATTGCAGCGGGGACATGTGTAACACGAGGGCTTCTTGTTGCACCTGAAAATAGATCCAAATTAAAACTTATTTGTACTATAAAAATGTTCATTATGGGTGTTGTGCCAGCTGTGGCAGCAGGCAGACTTGTGCTGCTGAGCTCAGTTTACAACTTAAGCCAGTGTAAAAATTTGATACCCTCATGTTTGAAAACTAAGTCACAAATTTTCATAAGCAAATTATTTTGACTCAGAGAACTACGCTTTGAGGATCTATCAACATTCAATGCCGTGCCATTATATCTGAGTGTAAGGGAATTGTCTCTAGTTTAGTAACTTGATCAGCTCTAAAATACCAGCTAAGTTTGAAAGGAAAATAAAGGGCGTTCAAAAAAAAAAAAAAGATACTCAACTTTGAATGGCTGTAACTCGAAAAGTAATAGAGTTAAAAAAATTTGGAAGGTCAGGATTTGTTCTCTATGTTTTTTTTGCATCTCTCCACCAAAAATCAGACAGATCGATGTAGCCATAAGCGTTTGATAGAACTTTCAGTGACATGTGCTAAAATCATGCTTGCGCAAAGTTATAATAAGATCATTTTGCATAATCATTATGTTGTCTTGACACGTTTTCTTTTCGCTGTTTTATTTTTTGTATCTTTGGTGAGACAAAACATGGCAATCTTTGGTGAAAGGCAATCATGACAATCTTTGGTGAGAAGCAATCATGACAATCTTTGGTAAGACACAATCATGACAATCTTTGGTGAGAGACAATCATGACAATCTTTGGTGAGAATGGCAATCTTTGGTGAGAGACAATCATGGCAATCTTTGGTGAGAGACAGTCATGGCAATCTTTGGTGAGAGACAATCATGGCAATCTTTGGTGAGGCGGAATTTCAAAACCAGAGATTGCCTCTCACCAAAGATTGCCATGATTGTGTCTCACCAAAGATTGTCATAAAGGTCTCTCACCAAAGATTGTCATGATTGCCTCTCACCAAAGATTGTCATGTTTTTGTCTCACCAAAGATACAAAAAATAAAACAGCGAAAAGAAAACATGTCAAGACAACATAATGATTATGCAAAATGATCTTACTAAAACTTTGCGCAAGTACAATTTTAGCACATGTCACTGAAAGTTCTATCAAATGCTTATGGCTACATCAATCTCTCTGATTTTTGGTGGAGAGATGGAGAAAAACATAGGGAACAAATCCTGACCTTCCAAAAATTTTTAATTCTAATCTATTACTTTTTGAGTTACAGCCATTCAAAGTTGAGTATTGTTTTTTTTTGGGACACCCTGTACAGTTTCCAATATTTTCATCCAAAGTGATATGTGCAAAAGGTTTGTTTGGCTATGATTGAACTCATGAAAGCATGAAAGCTGTCATGAGGCACATTTTAATACCAGCCTTCAAAGAACACAGTTAACTCAGAGTAGCAACATTCTTTTTTTATGTAATACTGTCCAAATATTTATGAAACCTGGTAGAGAAAAATTCAAACCAAAATGAACTATTATTATTTCTAGAGAAAATGTCTTGGCTATTCTGAGTCTCTGACACCCCAAATTCTTCAGAAGCTGGTTTTTAAGTTATTTTTCACATCAAGAGACAGGTCACCTAAAATTATTTTGGTATCTGCTTAACCTTAACTACAGAATTACTACTTAATTATATTAAAAATTTATAGGTTTTAAATATCCAACAAAAATTTCTAGGTTCTTGACTTCTGAAAAAGTGCAACAGCATAAGATCTTCATTTCCAGCTTGTATATTATATTTTTGTTTTTCTTCAGTGATTCCAGGCTGGCAATTGGCCAAACTGGAAAATTGGCAGAAGCCACCTGTGAATTGGCTAACAATGCTTGTGAATTCGGTGAATTTCATCCTGTCCAACAGCCTTTCCTGATTTTTTTCTTCAATTTCACAAAAATAAAGAATTGTTGTATTTTTACCTATAATTTCTGAAAATCATGTGTGAAACAATTGTTTTTACCTATAAATTTTTAAAAAATTCTGTCTAATATTCTAGATGGGCAGTAAGGTCTGTACTGTGTACTGTGTAGCACAATTGGACTTTTCTACTTGTTTCTGAAATATCACAGCTCCAACTTGACAAATTTTTAATACATTTGGAATCTTGCATGCACTTCTGTTAACAATTTTATACAAGTTAATTCATCTGGCAGAAATCTTGCGGTTCTGGAAATGGCGAGAAAGCTCTAGTCAAGGCCCTATTGCTAATCATAAAAGTTTTCCATGCTTGCAGTGTGTAGTTTTTGCACTATTTCAAGCAACATGCATTGCAATAACTAAAGTGGTATGCCAGTGTATTACTTTAGATTAAGTGCATCCAAAAAAAGGTATTTTTTTTAATTATATGTTTTTTGGGGTGTAGATAAAGAATCTGACATCCATTTTTGGAGGTCGGTATTGGAAAACCGATTTTTATATCTTTTCTAAGATAAAGTGCAAGTTAAATTTTGGCCCCAATATCCATGGGTTTATAGCATTTTTAACTTAGCCTTGGTGACCCTGGACTGACCCATATACTTTTGCAACCATGACATTGCAGGCAACCACAACATTGCAACCACAGTTAGGTTAGCCTTAGGTTAGGTTTTTTTGCCGATTTTGCCAATTTTTGCCAGATTTTTTTTTACGAATTAGAGCCTCGGGGAAAAAATTGGTTTTCCGATGCCTACCGCCAAAAATGGATTTCAGATTCTTTATCTACATCTCAAAAAACATATAATTAAAAAAAAACACCCTTTTTTGGATGCACTTAATCTAAAGTATTACCATATTTCAACTTCATGAGCAGTGAATCAACTCCATGAGCCTAAATGTAAAACATTTGTAAATTCAACAGTTATAAAAATGTGTAACATTGGAGCAAGGATTTGAATTTCATCATTTCAGTCAAATGTTTTACCTTTCCAGTTTTCAGACTGGACCAAATAACTTGTAGTTATGGCCAAATTTTAAATTATTTTTTCTCATTTTCCAATTGTGGTTTTGTAGACAAAATTAAATATATATATATATAGCTTCAAAAAGACAGCTGGCCAAGTCTAAGTGGGCCAAAGTGGCTGTAACAAAAAACAGAAAAATCANTAGGTTTTTTCTATGTTTGGAGTACGTCCGGCGGCCGGAAAAACCTAGCCAATCAACGAAAACCTCGCAGGTTAGGTCCAGTTAGGAACAGGTTCCATTAAAATTTTCCGATGCCGACCGCCAAAAACGGATTTCAGATTCTTAATCTACACTCCAAAAAACATATAATTAAAAGAAACTTTTTTTGGATGCACTTAATCTAAAGTAATATCGTATTTTGACCCAAAATTTCTGAAAATTATGTGTGAAACAATTGTTTTTACCTATAAATTAAAAAGAATTCTGCCTAGTATTCCAGATTGGCAGTCCCAGTAAGGTCTGTATGCTATAGTTTTTGCACAATTTTATGCATTGCAAATTGCAATAACTAATGCAGTGTGCCAGTGTATTTTGACTTCATGAACAGTGAATCAACTCCATGAGCCTAAATCTAATTCATTTGTAAATTCAAGTATTCAACAGTTATACAAATGACAATGTTTAGAATTGGAATAAGGATTTGAATTTCGTCATTTCAGTAAGATGTTTTACTCTTTCAGATTGGACCAAAGAACTTGTAGATATATACAGCCAAATATAATTTATTTTCTCACTTTCCAATTCTGAACAAAATTAATTAACTTCAAGAAGACAGCTGGCTAAGTGGCTGTTACAAAAAACATAGAAAAATCACATTGACAAAACTGGGTCAAAACCTTTTAAACCTGATTGATATCACAATTAAATTAGCCGTTTAGATGCAATTTCAACAGGACAGGTTAGACTAAAAAACAAACTCTCTTTAACAGCATTATTTTAAGTTTGTAGGTGTTATAACTTATAAGTAGCTCTAAATTTTGCAAAAAAAGATGTTAGGAGTTCTGAACATGCTTGACAGTTAGTGACGATTGTTCGCCCAAAATATATTGAATGGAAATTATCTAAAATATACTCACAAATTACACAGAGTCATGATCGCTCTAGTCAGTCTAGTGATCCAGGCAATGCTACAGAAAATTATGGACGAAAGCACAATGATTGTAATGAGGGCTTGCCGGGCTTGGGCGCTCAGCGTTGAAGGCTTGAACTTGAAGCGTAAGTAGTGCGGACTACGTCACTACGGTAGTACCTAGCCACTCATTCAATTATTTCCAGTCTTGCGGAGGCACGGACAGCTTTTTCTTCTTCTTCGCATCCGTTTTATGAGGACTCGGTTGTTCACCACCCGCCTCTCGTCTGGTTGGTCAGCGACGGCCAAACTGGACTCTGGAGTGACTTGTGGATAAAAGGCCAGATTAGACTTTGAAAACTAAAAGGTTGTTTTGTTAGTTCAACAAGCTACTTCAACACTAGTTTAGTAAATGGAGCAAATTTGGTCACCTTTACCTATTGGGAGAGNTTCCCTCAATTCCCAAAGACTGCACTTTACGTAACAGCCGCTCATGCGGAACACTGTCAAATGCCTTGGCAAAATCGAGGTACAATGCATCCACTGGTTCCCTTTCGTCCAGCAGGCGAGTCCACTCGTTCAACATAGATAATAAGTTAGCGGTGCAGGAGTTAAGTTAGTGGTGCGCCCGAACCTAGAGTTTGAAAACGTCGTGTGGTCACCGGAACTTGAAAAGGACAAAAATTTAATAGAGAGTGTTCAAAGACGTGCAACAAGGATAATCCCGGGCTTGAAAGGCAAGTCCTATGAGGAAAGATTAAAGATTATGAAGCTTCCAAGCCTCAGTTATTGACGTCTGCATGGGGAACTCATTGAAGCATACATGTATACTCATGGCTTTTACAGGGTCCCGGAAGGATTACTAGAATTTGAAACAAGAACCAACACCAGGGGCCACGGCTAAAAAACTGCGTTGTAACACATCCATGCGACAACATTTCTTCTCGCTTTGAGTCACCGACATGTGGAACAGCCTCCCTGATCGCATCGTTGACACTCCGAGAATGAAAGCCTTCAAAAACAGACTAGGCGAAGCTATGCATGAGCATATGTTCAGTCTTAATTAAAATGCCTAGCACCTTACGGACCAGGCAATAAGTCCAGCAGCTCTCTCAATCAATCGTCAGTCATGGAAAGATCGGGTTCCACGGGCCGGATTCCTTGTGAATCAAGTCACGAAAAATTCAAGAATCGGCAACAGGCCATGGGCATATTTCTTCAGTGCCGACACTTCTATTCTATTCTATAACACTTCTAAAGAGGCCGGTGTTTCCGATGTTACGAATGTACAATGAATTTCCAATTTCATTTTTAGATATTAAAAAAATTATTATTCATTTGTAAATATATAAAAAATTGACAAATTTTTTAAATTATTGATTTTCTCAGTTGATTCATGCATTGTCTGCGACTTTACGCAAGTGTGCAAAATTTCAGATCGATTGGACAGGTAGAAGTGTGTTATATATCGCTTATTAGATTTGTAGCGGATAAAATTATTTTTTCACATTCTTTAATATTGAAAAAAATATGATTTTTATATATTTTTTTTTTAATTCTGTCAATTGATTCATGCATTATCTCCGAGACTTTGCAGCAGACAAACAAACAAGAAGTGAAGTTAAAGAGAAGTGTTGAGAGAAGAGAAGTGAGAGAAGAAGACACGGTCTCTTCCCCTGACAGCAGTGAACACGGTCTCTTCCACTGTCGGCAGTAAACGCGGTCTCTTTCACTGTCGTCAGTAAACGCGGTCTCTTTCACTGTCGTCAGTAAACAGAACCTTCCACTGATAGCGGTGAACACGGTCTCTTTCACTTTCGGCAGTGAACGCGGTCTCATTAAGTGGCGGCAGTAAACAGAACCTTACACTGATATAGCAGTTAACACGGTCTCTTTCACTTTCGGCAGTGAACGTGGTCTCTTTCACTGTCGTCAGTAAACAGAATCTTCCCCTGATAGCAGTGAACACGGTCTCTTCCACTGTCGGCAGTAAACGCGGTCTCTTTCACTGTCTTCAGTAAACAGAACCTTCCACTGAAAGCAGTGAACACGGTCTCTTTCACTTTCGGCAGTGAATGCGGTCTCATTCAGTGGCGGCAGTATACGATGTCTCATTCACTGTCAGCAGTGAATGCGGTCCATGGACCCTTTCAATGGGAAGAGGTAACACTATTTTCTTACTTCACAAAAATTAAGCCTTGTACCAATCAGGCGTAATAATGAACAGATAGGAACCAGCGGTTGGGAAATTAATGAATGAGTGCATTATAACAAATAGGAACAAGCGATTGGAAAATTAATGAAGGAGTTAATTAATATAACAGCGTGGATACGAGGATAAAAATAGTATGGCAAGCCACAATCTGCCTCACCTCTTTTAGGATGCTAGAGCGGTGCACGGAGTGAGGTGTGCGGTGCAGTGCGCTCACGTTCGACTTCAATACTACCATTTGTTTCTACACGCAAACAACGTATTCGAGGTGAGCTGTAAACGAATATTGTACGTTCACCTCAATTAATAATATGTCAACGAAACAAAAATCAACTAAAATCCAAATTGGTATTCGCTCTTGGAGTTACATGCGATTCGATGTTTACTTCGCGGCATTTTCAAAGGATGTTTTCTACAGCATTATGTTCTTTACACTCGGTCCCATTAAGAATAGCCGTCGTATGGTGTCAAATAATTCCAGAAACGCGCATATATATGCAACAACAAGGTGGAGGTAAAATTAGATTAAAACTTTTAATTCTAAGGAAGCTGTGGAGGGATGGTCTTGCCGCCCATATTTAATCCGTCTTACGCCACTTCTGAAGCAAATATTTACGTCCAGGGATTGAAGGGATTATGGTGGTAAAAGAAGCTCACAACATTGACATCCACAATTAGGATTTGAATGCGGCAAATGTAAACAGAAGAATAGGCGAGATGATTGGCTAAAATAAACAGTGAATTTAACTGGATTCAAGCAATTAATGGAGCCGAAGGTATCATGCAGGTCTGCAGTGATTCGCATGCACAAAGGAAACGTGCGTCGTCTGCACGATCAACCAAAAGGCGGGTATAGGAGTTTAGTTTTAGTCTAAACTAAACTTGTGTCAAGGCGGGCACAATTTTACTTTTAGTTCCGTGCTCTGTTCATGTTGCGCTGATTTTGCCTGATCGATTTTGGCCATCTTCTCAGAACCTATTATTGTATCTCATTGCCTCCTCACACTAGTGCTGATTTTACCTCATTGACTCTGACCATCGTTTCCCGCCTCCTAATTGAGGCAGCCTCTGACCCCTTTTACCGGAATAAACTACCCCGAATATCTCTTCAATCCGTTATTATCCTTTACAATCCTTCATTATCCTACGTAACTGGGCTTCTGCAAAACCTCCAATTCCTAAGTTAGCCACAATTTCGCCAAACATCCATAGGTTCGCACGGAATTTCCTTTTGAACCAAAACAGTCGATGACAGTCTGCCGACGATGACTAATACACAGTCTCAGGTTCACTAAAATATAGGTATTTTATTTTATTGATATTGAATTATTATATCACAATACTTTATAAATATATTATACGTTGTTTTAGATTGAATGGCACAAACGCTTATGCTTTTCACAGATGACAGAGCAGTGCTTGGTCTCGCAGGACTCCTGCGGTTTTTCGCTCCGTTCGGGAGCCTTGCGAATTGGCATTTTCTACTTTGTAAGTAGCGGCAATTACCTTCAATTGAATTTTCTACCCCACGTTTTACTGTTCAACAAATTTATTCCTAAAGTTGAGCGATTAAATTATTGGCACGTTCAATGTTTCCGCAATTTCAAAAAATTTCTCGCAATTCTCGTGAAATTTCTCGCAATTCTCGATCGCAATTCTCGTGAAAACAAAATTGGCTTACATAGATTTTCCTCGACTAAACCTTTGTTCTTATACGACCTAAATACTCATTAGAGGCTAGACGCCGTAATTTGATTCAGCTTAATTCAGATTAAATATTACAAAATACGTAACTAATTTCTGAGACCTACAGTAAACTATCAACTCAATGGTCTTATAATACAGGGTTATTCTAAATGGTGGACCCTATTTAATAAATTCGTACTTATTTAGGTATTCATTCAAAATAAATAATTTATACACCAATGGAAATATGTCTCCCTTGCGCCGCACGGCAAACATCTAAATGGTAGCCTTTTGAATCTGCTACTTCGTGAGCGTTGGGTTGAAAATGGTTGAACTATACGTATAAGGTTGACCCAACTTTCTCACTTTTTACTATGCCGGTTTGACTTATCTCGCGAATTTTGTACCGAAACGATTTCAGTGAAAGGTTCAATTTTAGTGCAGTTCAATCAAAATTGTGCGAATAGTGAGAAAAACGGCTAGTACAAGTGTTTTATTCCCGACAAATTCTAGTGCGTGAAACGAGGGCAAGTTTTTGAAACCCTCGGCGACTGCCTGAAACCGGAGAACAA